ATGGAAGTCCTGATGATGCTACCACTGGTACATCCTTCACATCAGGCCATCAGTTGGAACCTAGTTCTAAGCTGATGTCAACGGGCAATCCAAGTGAACCCGGCAGAGCTACCAAGGAACAATCACCGCCTCAAAAGCAGCAAAGAGTTCCATACATCCCCCCAGGCAAAGACATTCATGATGCACTGGAGGAGGCGGTGATATACGACAAATGGCCGAGAAAATGGACAGAATGGGATGATCTCCGGGTTGAAGCCGAGCAAGAAGACATGCAAAGAAACTGGTGGCTACGAGAGCTGATTAATAGATGCTCTGAAGATATTATACGGCTCGAGGACGATGAACGCAAGGAAGGGGAGAACTACAAGGAATCCCAGAAAGCTCTTGAATCAGTCATAAGACAATCAGCGGGAAGACTTCCCAAGACAGAGAAACCCTGGGACAACGTTCGAATCAAAGCCCCCTTCCAAGAAGAAATCAGAGAGCATATCTGGCGTAGACCAGACAAAGTCAAGCCACTGAACGAACTAAAGCTAAGAGGCCTTACACACTTGAAAGGAAAACAGGCTGGAGGTCATCTGCATATGTTGCTGCAAAGGTCAACCGGTACACAGAGAGAACTGATGGAACAAGATCTGAAGTCGAATATTCTCCCGATTCATCAAATTCTACAAGTGAAAGTTGAAGACTATCATGGAGTAACATTTTACACTTTCAGACTTCAACGCACCGATGGGAGCGAATTCACTTGTCAAGAGAACGACTTCATCATGCTGAAACCGGATGACATCTATCAAATGCTCATGGCCTACAGATACCTTCCAGTCAGGCAAAACATAGTATACAGCGAAGGCCTCGCAGCTATCAAGAGATTCATGCTTAGACAGATCCGAGTACACTCCTCACATGACCTACAAATGGCTATTGAATGCAATCTGAAGAAGACAAATCTGACAAAGCCAAAACTGTATGGTCCAGAACTTGAAGATTTCCCAGCCTATCACATCTTCTTCAAACCGCCAGCAGTCACCTACCTGAACCACAAGAACGAAAAGCATCTGATGGTAGTCAGTGAAATCGAGAAATACTGCGACGGAACACTGAAGATAATCAGAGAACAGATTCTACAGATAAAGGAAAAGCTGGAAGAAAATCTTCAAGAGGCATCGTCTTATGTTCAAAAGGAACACTCTACTGTGGAGACAATTTTAAAGGCCATTGACGATCGCCTCGAAAAGAGAAATATGCTAAGACAGTATGAACATGCACTCAGATGAAGGAAGCACTACTTTAAATCACAGAAGCAATAAGAGGATGACGCTTGATCACAAAGGGGGAGATTGTTGGAGATATTTTATTGTGAATCAAGTTGGTCATAGATTAGCTTTATATTTAATCCTTGTATTTAAATAGTGCATAAAATTAGATAGAAATCAGGCCAAGTGTTAGGCCCATTTAAACAGGCCAAAAGCCTGTTACGCCTAACCTAAACCTCGCCTATAAAAAGGGAGCCGAGGTTTAGGAAAAGGTTGAACGTCGTACTTATTATTTCATAGCCTTACGCTTATCATTCTGCTGTACGTTCCACGGTTTATCAAAGAAGGTTTTACGGTGATTCATTCTGTGTTCATCTTTAACGTTTAATCTTCCTTGTTAGATCGATTATTCATTGCTGTTACAGAAACAGGGACTAACAAATCCTATCTGGAGCTAAAACAATGATGTGAACATCACCATTTACATATGCAAGTTTTGGCATTCTCTTGAAATTCCCTCCATGGTGAATTTCGATTCGGCTTCCAAAAACATTCTGAAAAACAAAAGATTGAAAAATATTTATGTATGTTGTTTTATCGTGGTACTGTTATTATATGTTTTTTTTTGTCTTTGTGTTATCTATTTCAGTAGTAACTACAGAAAGTTTAATGTTTCAAATGAAACTGGTCGAGAAAATTACCTTCCTTCCAATTGCATACCATCTTTCAATTAGTAAACTAATGCTCATATACGTATAATTATATGTGAAATTAAAAAAATTCAGTGCTTCAAAACGAATCAGTGCTAAAAACATAAGTTTTCATAACGTGAGTAATCAACTAATCAAATATTTAAAATTGAAAATCAACTCTTGCTGAAACGAATCAGTGCTAACATGAGGTAATCAACTAATCTCTGTTTTACGCATTTAACTACTCAAATAGCTAACACAAAGCAAATTTCATAAAGATAGAAGATAGTTACTACTGAAATGAGTAAAGCATAGATTTTATTCAAAATAGAAGATAGTAAAGTATATTTCATGTTCAATATTTCAATAAATTTCCAAATTCATTCTCAACTATACAAAAAATCGTTGAAATTGAATATAGTAAACTGGATTACTTGGCCTATGTGGTCTGTAAACGCAGACGAATGAACACAATCACAAGCCTAGCGGCGAAATGAAGAAATCACTGTCAATCATCGTTTGTGATAAGTCCATTTTTGTACTTACTTTTCTTATCAAATTTAAACAATTTTTGGATTGAAAATATAAAAACAAGGCATGTTTTATATATTTTGGTTCAAGTTTCATGAAATCATGTAAAAATCACATTCATAACATGTTTGGTGAAATTTTGGGTCATTTGCGTGAAGAAAGTGACATTTTTTGCCAAAAAATGAATTGCTACGGAAGTTTGGAAGATATATTGACAAATTGTTCAATGAGAAGAGTCCAAGAGAGGAAGAAATCATGCAAGGAAGCTCAAAAACCAAGAAGGGGTCACCTATATGGGCACTTTTGATGAAAATGGACGATGCATAAAGACACATGTTCGTATTTTGATCATAACTTGGCGCATGATTGCCCAAAGTTTGTGATACTAGTTGCATTACATTGACATCTTCTTGCTCTACAACTCTTATGAAGAACACATAACCAAATAACAATCGTAGAATGGCCATATTGCTCAAAGAGGTCAGACATTTGCAGTTGCGATGGAAAGTGACACGGGATCACCGTTTTGGTCATATCTCATAAACTACAAATGCATTGCATGTAATTCAAATTCCAGTAGTTACCCGCCAATAAAGAGATCTACAACTTTGGTGAAGACAACTTTTCCATTTGACGTAAGGCGGTCGACAAGGCGGCCGCCTTTCTGAGCGTCTACGAGTTTTCGACAGTTTTAGCACACCACACTTTGCATAACGACAAAGTGATGGAAGGCTGCCGACGGAGGGCGGCCGTCCTCCATGGCCGCCTGCGACGGATTTGACGCGTACACGTAGCTTTGTCGGGGAAGTTACCGAAGGCTGTCGCCCTTCTAACTGCCTTCCACGAAACTTCGGCTATAAAAACCCTCTTCCATCCTTAAAACAAAACACACCATCTCACACCCAACTCAGGTCAAAAAGGGTGTCTTCTTTCTCCGCAAAGCTCAGATTTCCACCATTGTTGGACCTTCAACTTCAATCTTTCATATCTTTCTCATTTTAGCTCCAATTTGTAAGTTCTTTATATGAAAATTCATCTTCTAGTTGTGTAGATTCTGAATATGTTGTTTTTATTTTCCAAATGTTAGTGAAACATTCTCTGCATTATTTTTAAGAATTTCGTATTTTCCATATTTATTCAAGAAAAATAGTTCTTGTTGTTATATTAATCTCCTACTTAGATAAACTTAATACCCAGTATAAATGATGTTTATTTGTGACAGAAACAAAAGTTTAGATGTTGGGAGTATTCACTTTAATATTTTATTTTGTTGTTATGATTTATGATCATGTCTTATTTTATATGTAAAGTGTTAAAACTAGTAATGAGTTGTTGTAGTTAATTTACTCTTGGGCATGAGTTGAATTAAAGAATATGGGTTCACCTTGTTTGACCAAAAATTAAGAGTTTAACTAATTTTATGGACTAGTTGTTTAAAATGATTAATTTGATTACTTAATAGATTTGGTCATTTCATTAATTAAACTTTGGAAGATTATTTATAACTTGTCTATGAGATTATAAATAGTTCAAGCCAAACATATTGAGAACATTAATGAAGCCTAGACATAGGATAAATTAATGGATAGAATTTAATCTTTGTCTATGAGGAATAAATTCAATTGTTTAATATGAGAAATATAATTAATTAATGAAGTTGACCATTTTGTGAGCTAAAATGCGGAAAGTTGTATCTATCTTATCTATGAGATTAGAATATAATTTAAGCCAACCATTTTAAACACATTAATGAAGCCTACAAATAGGATAAATTAGTGAAAGTAACTTAAATCTTGTCAATGAGAAAAGAATTACTAGTCCAATCTTTAATTACTCCTAATTATTAGGTCCAAGCTAAAAGGGTGTACCCATATTTTATAATTCAATTCATTGTCCTTCTTTGATCAATCCATTTAGAGTTTAATATTATATTTTCATTTAGTTTATTTTTGAGCCATTATTAGTATTTTGCATAATTTAATTTACTTTCTTTTTCAAAAGTTAGTTTAGAAAATCAATCAAAATTTTTAATTTGGAAAGCTTCCAATAATTTGAGATAACCTGTGATTGAACTTAAAATCAAGGAACTCCTCCGTCATTCCTCAAGAGACACGATATTCGGGGAAAATCGAAAGGTTAGACTCCGTTTTACTATAACGTCGCGTAAGCGGTTATCAGTCCCCAATCGCGAAATCAACGCAACTCCATAAACCCTATTTGCAGTGAGACAGGATGATCGAACCTCTCATCCCCAATCGCGATATGTCTAAGGTTGGTAAACTAATGAGACACGATGTAGCTGACATGTTGAGACATAAAAGGAAAGTGTGGAATTAATCAGGCAGAGCTTGTTTAGTAATTTGAAAATTGGCTGAATTGTTTAAATAGACTGAAACTAATGAAATTTTAATAGAAACTATGATTGAACGAACTGAATATGATGAATTCTTTTTTAAATTAACAGAAAGGTATATATAAAACGGTTAATCTAATTTTGTTTACCAATTTCAACCAAATATGTGTGAAAAGCTAATCCAAATCTACTCTTTGCTTAAATATAAATCTATTTATTTGGATTTTATGAAATGCTTAAATATCTGTAATCCACCTCTGCTTGCCCACCTCTGGTCACCCGTTGTCGCCCTTATCCCATGGAGTAGCTGTCCATTTTTTATGGCTACTGTTTTAGATCGATGGCTAGGGTACAATTGTGAGGTCAATTTTGCTCGACGACTTGGGGTGCGGGGTGGGATGCATCAGTTGGGGTGGTTGGAGAGGGGTGGCTAGGGCTTGGAAGTGGTTGTGGCCGTGGAGGGTGTTGGAGAGGGGACTAGGGGCTAGAGAGGTTGCTGTGGAGTCGAACCAGGTAGAGTGGTGGTCTGCAGTAGCGGCCGACAGGTAGACTGGTGGCTAGGGTGGCAGGGGGCAAGGGCTCAGGTTGGGGGTGCTGGGGCATGGGGATATGAAGGGGCAGATCCAATGGGCAGTCTATGGCTGACTATGGCTGACTATGGAGGTCAGGGTGACGGGGATGGGGCATGGTTTGTGGGTGTGGGGTGTGGCTAAGCTGATTGGGGTAGGGCATGGCGGGAGTGATAAGGGCAGGGCTAGGTGATGAGGGCAAGGCTGGGCTGGAGTGATGGTGTGGTATAGGGTTGTGGTGATGGTGGCGGGACAGGGCAGGGGAGGCGGGGTGTTGCGCCATTGTGGTGGCCGGTTGTGGTGTGGTTGTGGTGACCGGTGGGACATCCATTTCACCAAGGTCGGCTGCGTTGCTAAATGAAAACGACCACAACGACATATTTCAATGCGTCGGTGACACGGGCGGTGGTTATAGTGAGACAAGTGGCGGCTACAGTGATACATGCGGTGGCTACAGTGACACTGGCGGTGGCTACAGTGACACGGACAGTGGCTATAGTGACACAGGTGGTGGCTACGGTGACACGGGCGGTGGCTACGGTGACACGGGCGGTGACTACAGTGACATGGGCGGTGACTACAGTGACACGGGCGGCGGCTATAGTGACATTAAAAATGGATGGTGACATATGTTTTTCCAATTCTATGACCTTCCTAGTCACATTTTTGTCCTTTTGTAAATATGATCATACTTTTGAAAATTGACTGTATTTTTGTAATATTCAAGTAAAAAACCCATAAACAAATGTGATATGTGGATGATGACTATCCAACTCCTTGGATTGCGGTTAGTCTAAGCATATGTGATATATGGATGATGACTATCCAACTCTTCTACAGTTACAACTTTGACGTGCTCACATAGTGATTTCCCGTGTTTATATTTGTTTTTCCTATTTGTTTCACGTTGACTGGAACCATTCATTTCTTGAGTTAAAGACACACTTTCAAATTGGCAGATTTCCAAATCCATAGAAATCAATTACAATCCATAAGCTACGTAGATTTTAAAATCCATTAAAATTAAATAGATCTGCAAAAGAGAACCTGAGGAGAAAGGATCAGGATCCTCTGTCGCACGGCAGGGTCCTTGGCACAAATCGGACGGCAAAGAAGAAAGAAGCAACGCATTGGGATCGACAAATATTGCATCCGATGGCCATAAATAACCAAGCATCCTACCTGGCGGCCAAATCCAGGCAGAGAAATCGTATTCGAGGAGAAATGGTCTTTTACACAATTATTTGTACACACTACTACACACTATAAATATCATCTATTTTTACCATTTCACATTTACCCTCCCCCTTCCCACTCTTTCCCTCTCTCCTCTCTTCTCCCTACGGTTCCCCCTCCCTACTCACTCATCTTTATTTTTTCTTCCATCTTGATCACTTTCATCTTCACCCAACCTCCATCTTCATCATCTTGTGTCATCCTTCATCTCCATCACCATCTTCCATCTTTATCATTTTAATCTTCATCATTTTCTATCTTTCTCACTCCATCTTTCATTTTTTAAGACCCGTCGGAGATGGATAATCGTCGGAAAACCAAACCGTTTTTTTTGCCTGTATCATATATAAAAATCGTTTGTGATTTCTTAAATAATGATAAAGTTTGTTTGTATGACGAAATAGAACTTAAAATTTATAAATAAAAATCACCGGAAAGCAAATCTGAGATGTAAAGTCACCGAAATTATCTTTATCTTTATATTATATAAAGTAACATAGTGACATTAATTTTTCCGCCCAAAATGCCACCGAATAAGGGGCAAAATTGGAAATTAATTTGCCATAGATTTAGAGCATCTCCAATGCCATAGTATGCACGGTGCATATGTGGCATGAAAGATAACCGCATAAATATTAGTAAATAAAATATTTGTCTCCTTGTTTGAACGGTTTTATATAATTCTGATAACTTTTCTCAAATAATGTCTACTACAATGTCTACACCTAGACATTTTTTCTTGACAATGTGAACAAAACTTAACGAAAATATATAAAATCATTCAAGTAAGGAGAGATATATTTTTTTACTAATATTTATGTGGTTATCTCTAATGCCACATATGCACCGTGCTCATTTTAAGTGTTATGCCAATGCATATTTCAAAAGTATCATACTACATTAGATTCACATATATTGAAAGTAATTGGAATTAATTAATTTACATAATTCAATATTTTTTTATAAAAGAAAAAATAATACGTAGTAAAAAGAAAGTGAATCAGAAGATATGAAGGAGATCATGATGCTCAAGGTTAGACTCTTATTACTCAAAAGAAAAGATTAGATTCCTTTTTATTTGTTGCAAAAAAAGACTCCTTTTTATTCTCGATTGTTATAATTGAGATGGCGGAATGCGGAACGCCGACCACCAAGCGGGCCGCAAGTGCCCAAGTCTCCAACTCGCCAAGCGGCCCAAGCCGCATATACCGATTGACCAACGAAGCGACGGCTACGATGCTTGGCCACTTGCCTCCCATCTCTTCCCCTTCTTAATGGACCCGCGTTTCCGATTCTTCACAGCCCATTTTCCCTCGCCCTACTCAGTTCTCACCCCCTGCTACAATTTTTTATATAATACGGAGTAAATCTATTACATCCTCCATATTATAGAAGTAAGTTATGCATTCTCATTTGGTACCGATTTTATGCTCATTTTAAGTGTTATATCAATGCATATTTCAAAAGTATCATACTGCATTAGATTCGCATATATTGAAAGTAATTGGAATTGATTATATTCATGATTCAGGAATTTTTTATAAAAGAAAAAATAATACGTAGTAAAAAGAAAGTGAATTTGAAGATATGAAGCAGATCATGATGCTCAAGGTTAGACTCCTAATACTCAAAAGAAAAGGTTTGATGCTCACCAAAATTGCATTAATGCTCATTAAAGAAAAGTAATGATTTTCACTAAAGTTAAAAAATTGCCACCGGCTATTCGGTGCAAGCCGTACAACCGGTTGTACTCTATACGCTCCCCTGCATTTGGTGCTGAACTTTTTCACCATGTGTAAAATGTGTTATATAAAATGAAATGAATGACTTTTTTTGATAAAAAATTAATGACTTTGGGGGGGGGGGGGGGGGGGGGATTTAATGGCTTTTCAGTCTTACCTCTAATTGTTTTTTTAACTTCTTCTAGATCATTAGTTACGTTATTGTGTTATTGAACATTCCCGTGCAACACACGGGTCAATAGTCTAGTTATATGTATTTTCTTAAACAAATGTCTGTATGGTGAAAAATACTAATATGGTTTGTCTGTGTACAAACATTAATTGTCTGTGGCGCATGAGAAATGTCTGTGCTTATACATTTTTTGTCTGTGTTAAACATTTTTTGTTTGTGGAAGACAAATAATTTCTGTTTACGCACTGATGGGATATAAGGGTCCAGCCCAATATACCGGCCCAAAATATCCCTAGGGCCCAGGGAACGGGAAAAGCCCAAGGAGAAATGGATGGCCCCGAACGAGAATTCGATGGCTTAAGAGAAACTTCCGTTCGGCACATCCCGAATGGAATGTAATTAACACTTTGGACAATTATTGTTCTTTAGGATCATTAACTTAGCAGATCTTAATACCGATCGGAGATTCGCTCAAGTGGCAGGCTGCATTTAACGTTGGAGTATGGAGGTCTCAAGTGGGAGCATGAGTGCACAAGTGGCTTGAAAAGCAGCCAATTGTGATAGATCACCCCATACCCCTCACCTACCCCCAACTAGTATAAATAGCACCATTTGTTTCATTGTAAAGGGTTAACATTTGTTTACTCACTAGCTTATATTGCATTCTAGCTCTTGCATTAACATTTGGACCGTAATTGCCGTTCGGCCATTTCCTTGTAATTGTTATTACTGCGTTAATACCAGCAGGGCTATTTGAGTGGATCAATCAGTTTTTATATTTCTTTATACACTTTACTGTAGCATTCAAACCCTAGATCCAAAGTTGGTGTTGGGCCTTCGGGTCATTCGGGACTTAAACTCAACACGGACATTGATTGTTGTCTCTTTTTCCTGAGATGACAGTGTTTGTGGCGCAAAAAACTAATGTCTGTGTAAAGACATTACATGTTTGTGGCACTTGAGAAATATATGTACTTATATTTTTTTTTCTGTGCCGAACATTTTTTTCATGAGGAAGAAAACTAATGTCTGTACACATACATCAATTTTTGTTCCTTTTTTGCAGAGATGGCAATGTTTGTGGCACATAAACCGACGTCTGTGTACATACATTAATTGTTTATGACACTTGAGAAATTTCTAACTTGTACATTTTTTGTTTATGCCATATAATTTTTGTCTATGGAAGAAACTAGCTCAACAATTGGAATGATACACACCACACCTCAGATTAATTTTCCATCAACTTTTTACCTCCTATGGTTTTTCGACGACTTTTAATTAATTTTTTTAAATTTTATTTCTTCATACAGACAGTTTATTAATATACAGGAAATCATAAACGAATTTTTATACAATACAGAAAAATATTTAACGATCAATCATCTCCGGGTTGATCATAAAAAATGAAAATCTTGATGATGGAAATGATGATCATGAAAATGAATAAATGATAAAGATGGAAGACGGTGTTTGAGATGAAAGGTGACACAAGATTATGAAGATGGAAGAGTTGGAGATGAAGGTGATGAAGATAGCAAGAAAAGGAAGAAAAAGATTGAGTGGGAGGGAGAACTAGGGGTGGGAAAATATACCGAAATTTCGGTATACCGGCCATACCGTACCAAAAAATACCGATTTATCGAACTTTTTGGTATACCGAAAAATTCGGTACGGAATGATACCATACCGGGTCACTTCGGCACGGTAACAGTATGTAGTTTTTAAATTTTCGATATTTCAGTATATACCGAAATACCATTAATTTTCGGTATGGTTCGGTATATACCGAAATACCGAAATAGAATTTATAAATTATTAGGGCCAAACCCATTAAATGAAATTAGTAAAATATCAAGTCCCAATATTTTAAAAACCAAATCAACGTAGAGACCAAATGATGCAGACCAAATCAACTATGGCCCTTCTCCATTCTCTAGCTGCGAACGACGAAGCTGTGAAAGAAGAAGCTACGGACGAATGACAGAGCACTCAAGAACAGCCAAAGACTTCGAGCTAGAGCTGCGGACGAGTGACGAAGTAAGGAGTACTCTATATGAATATAGACTAAGAACTCAGATTTGTTATACAGTTGTATCGTTTATTGTGTAAATAGGTCTTATTTAGCAGAGTACAAAATATTAAGCTTGTTTCTGGAAGTGCGAGTCACAAATGGAATCAATGCCCGATAGGCATATAGTGCTTAGGGAATAATTTAAGACAGAGTATATAGAATAATGTTTTCCAACCGTGAACAACTCATGCCAAGTACAATAATTTACTTTCATATCTTTGGCACAACTAATTAACAAATTCCTTCTGCTTTATATTATTAGACTGTTCTTGATGCTCATGATGCTGCTATATCTACTTTGAGACATGAAGTTTGCTGGGTTCATATGCACAAGTAAAACTTTACAAATTTCGATTTCGATGGGGTTAACATGAATACACATTTCTTGAGCTTATTTTACATCACAATACATATTTTCCCTTTACGACCTAAATTCCTTGGCATTTATTTTGAAGATTAGTAGAAAAAGTAATATTAGAGTCATTGAAAAAGGGAAAACTATTAACAGGGTATAGATTCTTCTTCTTTGACTTTCTTACACTCCATACTCCACGCAATTGTTTATACTGTTCAAGAAAAAATTTCCCTCTGTCCCGATGTCTTATTTGAGTCTTTCTAATTATGTAAAATTGGGAGTACAACAAAACTAATTTATTTTCATTCCCAGCAATGGAGGAGGAATTGAGGAGTGAAGTGTTAGCCTACTTATCTTTTGGAGTTGCAATAATCGTTCAAAGATTTGTTATTACAAACATTACTTATCATTGATTTATGTTGGATAACTTTTCTAATTTTCATTATGAATTGTGTTGAGACTTGAGATATTAGCGCATAATTTTAGTATTTTCTACTTTGGATTAAATATTGTGTTTTAGTTTTGGTATGAGTTTGTGTAATTGATGTCGTCGTCTACTACTTTCGACACATTAAAATCAGATTTTATGGATGTTCGGTAGGCCCCATATCTCGATGCTTTATACGGAATCGTCTTACAAGTTTAGTGTTGTGAATTTTCGGTATAAAACGGTATGGTTACATACCGTACCGAATTTTCGGTATACCGAATTTCGGTATACCAAAAGTTTTGATATGGTAACAGTATGAGATTTACAAATGCCGGTATTTCTGTACGGTATGCAGTATGACGTGGAAATTTCGGTATGCTATACCGAACCAACCCTAGGGAGAACCGTGGGAGGAAGAGAGGAGAGGAAAAGAATGGGGAGGGAAGGTGGTAATTTTTTTAGCTACTTATAGTACGTATGTGTGTGTATGGAAAGTGGGTACAAAAAGCAAAATTGCCTTCACGATTCTACTGCGAGGGTGTTTGGAACTGATTCTGCTTCTGCTTCTTTTTTAAGAGCAGAAGCAGATTCAGAATCAGTTTTTAGAAGTTGGTCACCCCTAGTTTATAAAAAACGGATTCTAGGAGTAAATTAGAGCACCAGAATCATTTATGCACTTTCACCCAAACACTCCAACTTCTGTTTATACTCCCTGAAAGAGCAGAAGCAGTTTTAAGAATGAGATCCAAACACCCCTACATATAAAAAATAATGGAATATACGATTCTCAAAATGCTTTGAAATCCAAGTCAGGGACGCCGCGCGAGTTATCAAATGAGTTCGTGACATAATTTGCATCAAAATTATTGTGCAAGAATGTAGAATAAGTCAAAGATTTCACCACGATGCTCAGTTAATATTAGGTACGAATGTACGATGCCAACAAAACGAAAAAAAGTACTTCGCTCCTAGATAGTGTCTCTCGCCTCTCTGACGAACCGCAGTGCAATCCTATCGTTTATTTCCAAAGAATTGAGCTTTCGTTGTCCTACGCCCCATTTTCTTCTTTGCCTCAACTTGTCAAACACCTAGTATGCCTCTCCTCTAATGATATTCTTCTTCCTCACATCCATCAATGCTCAAAACCTCCAATTCCCACACACCCATTGAATATAGTCGTGTTCTTGTTACATAGTGATGTCATTCCATCTCGATCTCGAGGACTTTCAAGAGAAGCTATCAACTCACTTGAGACCATGGCAGCGTTCTTTGCAATTTTGGGCTCGAACTGCTGATATCTACACTGGTTATAAAGTAAGTAAGCGGATCAAACCTCAAGAAATGAAATTTGAGAAAGATTTGAGCTTTGTATATACTCCGTATATGTATGATGAAATTGTAATTTTCTTTTTGTTGATAGGCGTTTCAAGTGAGGGTGAGCTTTGAGAAGGATTTAAGGAAGCAGGAGGCAATGTGGGAGAGGCAGCATGAGCTCGCTGCTGAGAAGATATACGACATGTGCTCTGAGCTTGGTGGCTTTTTCCTAAAGGTACTCTATTTTCTTTTTAATATGTTCAAGCTTTGGATTAGTAAAGAAACCTATGGGATGGAAAAGTTTGATCTCATAGATATCAAAATTGTCTTGTTCAATGCATATCAGGCATAGTGAGATTGAATTGTTTACCTTTACTTTGTGATGGTATAGATCGCTCAAATTATTGGGAAGCCAGATTTGGCTCCTGCTGCATGGGTAAGAAAGCTAGTAACTCTATGTGATCAAGCTCCTGCTACGCCATACAGTGTGATCAAAGTAGTAGTTGAGAAGGAGTTGGGTCAAAATGTTGATGACTTGTTTGAAAGATTTGATGTGCACCCACTGGGTTCTGCTTCCATTGCACAGGTCCCCCCCCTAAATTTTCTTTATTATAGAGAGACATTTGTGCTTCTGTAAGTGTTCAATTTGAATAATGAGTGTCAGTAATTAACATTTTAAATGTATTTATGCTATTAGAAGTTCTTTACTTTCTTTATGAAAAGCTTGATGCTGGGATATTGGGTTGACTAAGGTTTCTTGCTAAAACGAAACCAATAATTAAGAACACCTGTGTTATTTGATGTACTTTTAATGGAGAGTCACAACATGTTGTGAATCCCTTAACATGAGACATTTACTCTAATTTTGAACAATGGGTGAGAATGAATTGACATCCTCTGTGCGTACCACCCATTTTGATTGGTTGAAATTGCTTTATTTTTATATATATTTTGATTGATTTAGAAACACCGACCAATCAAAACGAGTGTTACTCAAGTGGTACAGGAAACACCGTACAGGATATTTCAACTCGTGGGGAGTGTGGGTGTGGGACTTAACTTGAGATGAATTAAATGCACAGCGGTAGATTTACAACAATTTAAAGCTACGGGTAGGAGATATCATGTTAAATAGCAGTTTCTTTGTATGCTTTATTTTCATATTTACAAAAGGGCTGCAGAAAGATGTCGGTCCAAAGCTTAGCCTTTATAGCTCTTAAGTACTTGATTTTATTTCAATTATCAGGTTCACCGTGCAAGACTTAGAGGCAGCAAAAATGATATTGTTGTCAAGGTTAGACCGTGATTTGTTCTGTACAACTTAAATGCTTATAAGCCATAACTATAATTGTAATCAATGTAGGTCCAACATCCAGGTGGTCAAGAACTGATGATGACTGATATCCGTAACCTGCAAGCCTTTGCACTGTACATGCAGAAGACAGACATCAAGTTCGATTTATTCTCTGTGACCAAGGAAATGGAGAAACAGGTCATTTTTTTCATATTGCATAATCACCATTTTCATTCATAGATGCACATAGTATGGACAGCCTTATCATTTTCTACTGCTATGATGTAATACTCTTTTAAATGAGGTTTCTCTTACTTGTGCTCTTCAAGATTAGTTATGAATTTGACTTTACAAGAGAGGCTGATGCTATGGAAAGAATTCAACAATTTCTATATGAGAATAATAAGAAGTCCTCTGTTCTGGTACCACAGGTGATGCGAGACATGGTCAGCAGGTTTGTTCACTACTAAACAGGAATAATTTTTTTTACCACTAAGCAGGCATTTGCTAACATTTTCTTTTGTTTGAATGATACCTAGATGGTTATCATATTTGCTAAACGTACAATTATATTATATTAGCAATTAGAGAATAAAGTTGGAACTTTTGTGATATTCTTTTGAAGAAGGTTACTATATCATTATATCATAACATCCACTAGTTTAGTTATATTTTATGCTATTTCTCTCCTTTTCTGGAGTGTGTTTATTCTATAACATAAATTGAACCACATACACACATCCATACAAATATAATGAGCATTATATATGCATCATATTTTCTAGCTTTGCAGCCCACTTATTCTTTTACTTGATGTTGTTAATAGGAGGGTTCTTGCAATGGAGTATATAGATGGAACACCTATCCTTAAGCTGGGAGATGAAATGGCAAAGAGAGGCATAAATCCTAATGGCAAATTGGCCATAGCTGCAAAGGAGTAAGCAACCAATTATCACCCTAATTGTGTTAAGTGCTTTCGACATTACTTATGGATACATATTTGCACTAACCAATTGCTATTATTCCTTGTACTTGTACTAAACAAGTTAGGCCCCACTTTAATGTGTCAATCACCAGTTTTTCATTTTAAACTTCTCATAGCTTGCTGCTAAGGATATTTTTAATTAGACTAAAATTTCCTATTCTGATCTGATCTAGTATGATCTGATATGGTCTGAACTGGTTTGGTCGGGTAGATGTATGGCCTATGTGTATTTTATAACCTTAGACGTCTGGTCTGGTCCAAGGTAGTAAAAGTCGTAAGGCGCACTCAAGGCGCTAGAGTACCGAAATCGCCTGAGGCGCAACAAATATACGATAGTAGCATAGTTATAATTCTAAAATATAAAACAAGTCAGAAAAAGAAACAAATATAACTAAAAGAAGAAAAAGATATAAACTTTTAAATGATGAGATAAAAATAAAGAAATAACTCACCAGACAATCTAGGGTTGATTTCTTGAAAAATTTTCCATCTACTGTATAACTTTTCAAACTCCCCAATTTACTTTGTACCCCCTCATATCCTGCCCCCACATTTTCTTTTTCAATCAGCCAAATCACCTACATCAGAATCCATCAATTCCTTAACAAAAGTTGATCATTTGTAACCCATATGTCCATTTTAGTGGCAGCTTTCTTGTATATATAAGTTATATCCAACATATTCGACACAAAATGACAAAATCAGGAGTTAGAATAATTTAGATGAAGTAGTAAATTGATATCAATAAAGGAATGAATTTCATCTGTAGGTTAGTACCCTAATTCAATTTTGGCACGTGAACCGTGCCCTAATTTTGTTTGAATAAGCTGGATAATAGTTGGGCAATGATTTTTCTCACTAAAATGGGCACATGGGTGACATATGATTAACTCATGCTAAGGAATGAACAGGAGTTACAGGAGGTTGACTGAGATTGGCTGTTTGAACAAAAACAAATTATAGGGGATCAAGATTACTGGGGGGCTGGATGAGACAATGATAGGGATCGACCTATGAGACTAATAAATAGAAGAGTTAGTTGTTAGTTATATTTCTGTTATTAACTAATAACTAGAGTAGGTTGTACTGGAAGGCTATAAATAGAATAGTATGGGAAGGAGAGGGCAGGCTGTTTAGACTTTGAGTCTGGGACTGGGAAGTTGGAGTATTACCTCCTTCTTTGGGACTCTGTAAACTGTTCATCTTGTTCATGAAGTTTAGTTACTCTTACATCTTTCATTCTTAATTCTGGTGATTTCCTACTGTGATTTGGAGAGGTCCTAACATTGGTATCAGAGCACGTCTATCTTGGGAAGATGGAAGGACGTGTGACGGATATAGAAAGAAATCTGAGAGAGACCGCAGCTAGGCAAGCTGATATGGCGAAGACGATGGTAGCTATGAAAGCTAGCATCGCGGAAATACAAAACAAACTTCATAGTCGATCGATGAATCCATCGCACACTTCTGATACGTCGCATCAAGAACCGAAGCTTCGAAAGGAACATGGAGATCGATCGAGCAACACCAGGCATCATTGTCTCTGTGACAAGCAGAGTCCGTCGCAATCGCTCACAGATTCGCAGTCGGAGTCGCGAACTACTTCGCAATCTCAGGGCTCGCAATCGCAAATTACCCGTCACTGTTCACAGTCGCGATACAGATCGCATGCGTCAAACGCATCGCATCGGGAATCTCATCTTCATCATACGCGAAGGTCAGCGAGTCCAGAGGACTCAGAAGAGCGGAGGCATCGCAGAAAACCTGGCGATCGAACTTTTTCTTCGCCAAGCTCTTCACATAGCTCTTCGCAGAGTTCTTCTCATCAGTCTTATCTTCGCTCTTCGCACCAGACTATCTCAACGGACATCAGTTCGCACTCTAGGAAGACACGATTGAGAGGAGAATCTTCTTCTTCACCAAATGATTCTCACAGTTTGCTATCTTCTTCTAAAGCAGTTTCTCGGAACTCAGCTAATTCAAAAACGGAGAAATTACCTCTATTTTACGAGGATGAAGCGTACAAATGGATAGAAAGGATGGAAAGATATTTCCGAGTCCAAGCTATTGCAGAAAGATTTAAAGTGGATATGGCAGCCAAGGCAATGGGGGATGCAGCAGATGGCTGGTTTCAATGGTGGGATTTTCACAAGAGAGAAGATAGTTGGGAGGCTTTAAAGGAAGATCTGATTAGGGATTTTCCACCTAGACACCGGCAGAAGACAGGGAAGACAGCAAAATCAGAGTCATCGAGGTCTTCGCCAGTTTTTTCACTGTCAGGATTGATGAGTTCACAAGTTTCTCAACCTGCGAAAGAATTGCACCAGTCAATAAATAAGACTGAGATGGAGCCAACGGAAGTTGTAACCAAGAAAATGAATAAGAAGGATGAAACCGAGGAGCAAGGACAGATTACCCAATGGCCAGAGAATTCATGCATTGATACACAGTCTTTGAGTTTGGGAAAGAAGCAAGCTGACCAATTATGCGATAGGGAAGTGCAAAACAAAAGTTCAGATGATGAAGCTGTCCTCTCACTGATATCACCAGTTTTTGTACTTAAAGGATCAAAAGGTCTTACTAAGTTTGATATTTCAACAGATGCTCATGAAGATAAAGGTAGGGATACCATTATAACTGTAGAAGAAGGGCCCACTGCTTCTGCAGAATCAATTAAGGTGCCACATTTAGCCACCCAAATACATGAGATGGAGCAAGGAGGCAATGCAAGAGAAGGGAACAAAATTGAGATCATCAAAAGCATTGTATATGGTGGTTTAGCCGAGTTAATCACAAGCCTAAGTATTGTGTCATATGCTGCTGCTAGTGATACTAGTACATTGATTTCACATAAAGGTTCACTAACTTGGATGAAGGTTATGAGCGGTAGCAGGCTTGTTATGAATGATAAAGATTTGGAAACAGCTATATACAATCAGGAATTGACTGTTGGGAGGCCCTCGTCTACTATGATTACAGCCATTTTGAAAACCAGGGTCGAAGAGGGACTTTCTGTTTCTTATATTTCAAAGGATCATAAAGACTATTATCCAGTTGTTTCTTCTGCTATTGTGCATTTGAATGGGATAGGATATCTTTATCTTTGCTTGTTAATGCCTTTTATGTCTTCCTTATCAAACGAGATAAGCCAAGAACTGAAAGAGGAAGAAGTTGGAAGGTACAACAAGGAGTTTGCTTTCAGTACAGTATCAGTTTCAGAACATAGAAATCAGGAGAAGCTGCAGAAAAATGAAGAAATAATTTTGGATAGGGAGTACGGGAAGGTGACTGAACCAAAGGAAGATTCACTTTCTGCTGCTGAAGTGAAGAACAGGAAGATGAAGTTTCAAGTAGTGAAGCTACAAATCCAGGATTCAGTGAGATATTGGGAAGGAAGGGGCATAAGAATGAAGATGAAGCTGAAAGTTGCGGCTGTTTCCTATCAGCCACCTTGAGGGCAAGGTGGATGTTTAGGGAGGGAGTATTGATAGGGATCGACCTATGAGACTAATAAATAGAAGAGTTAGTTGTTAGTTATATTTCTGTTATTAACTTATTACTAGAGTAGGTTGTACTGGAAGGCTATAAATAGAATAGTATGGGAAGGAGAGGGCAGGCTGTTTAGACTTTGAGTCTGGGACTGGGAAGTTGGAGTATTACCTCCTTCTTTGGGACTCTGTAACTGTTCATCTTGTTCATGAAGTTTAGTTACTCTTACATCTTTCATTCTTAATTCTGGTGATTTCCTACTGTGATTTGGAGAGGTCCTAACAGACAACCACACTAGTCTTTGGGGGGTGGGGAGCTGAAAAAACCCTTAAATCAATCCCTTTATGTTGTGATTTTGATTTTCAATTTCTAAGATGATGCAGTGTTATTCTTTATCAATGACTAGTTTGGTTTTCTATTCCTTTTTGAAGTGAACATCTTAAATTGTGTAATAAAAGGACGAGCTTTGTAGTTTCGTTATTTCAATCCAAAGTCATACGAGTGCATTGTAGTTATTGCAGCTTTTCTCTGATTACCATCAAAAGATACTGTATAACTGGACAGTTAAACACAGATGTAACAAAGTAACATGTTTTTTTAAAGAACACATACGAGCACAATGACTGGACAGAGTACTAACTTCAAGTGTCAGATTTTTGCTCTGTTTCTTAACATATTTAAAAAGAATTGGAGAAGGGAATATGGGCTTTTATTTTGCTAAATTTAATTTAATGTTCATTTTTAATGCAGGAATATCCTTAAAACTTTATCCCTTGCTTATGGGCAAATGATACTAAGGAGTGGTTTCTTCCATGCAGATCCTCATCCTGGAAATATTCTAATCTGTAAAGACTCTCAGGCAAGTGGATTTCTAGTTCTCGGAGAACTCCAGACCTTTCCCTATTTCTTGGACCCTTTTATGTACTCATTTTCGAACAATTTATAGATAGGTTTGCAATCAGCATAACAGCGAATTGTTTCTCTCAGGTTGCCTTGCTCGACTATGGGCAAGTTAAGGATCTTCCTGAGAATTTAAGACTAGGATATGCTAACTTGATTCTTGCTATTGCTGATAATGACCCAGTAAAGGCAGAACATAGTTACAGGTGTCACTATTTAATGTTGAACTTCCATTCCTTTTCTTCCTCTATAAATGGTTTTTGTTTTCTCTTTTTTCAAATGACTGATTTTCCCCATTCTCTTCTCTCTGCATGGGGAGATCCGTCTTCAATTTTCCTTAATCAGACAGACATTATGACCGATTTCAAACTAAACATTTTGTGCATCTAATTTAATATTATGACAAATGTATTCAAGAATTTCTCTGCAATTATATATTTATATATATATATATTGTTTAGCAGCTCTATTTGTCAATCAAACTCTTGAAACATGAGGAAACAATTAATTAGCTACACACATAGTGCGTGTTTCCCCCACAACTTAATTGAATCTTATCTACTCCCAAGACAACAAGGTGGGAAAAGACTAATGATTATTTTGATGGAGGGTTTGGGGCCTTGGAGGCTTTGGGGGGCTAGGTGTATATCTTGATATATATTTGAGATAACAATTGAAGAAATACCATTTAGATGATCACATTAGTATATAACATTTCAATTTTTCAATCATCATTTGTTCTTTTTTAGGAATATCACAAATGATGGTAATGGAATGAATCATTCAGAACAACAAAATGATTTCATTACAGCGGAGGAATATTACAAAATCCTTTTTGTACAAAACTTGTACACAATTCACACGGACAATATTTTGTTCTCACCGGCAATATCTTGTCAGTGAATAGTTGTGTTATGTGAGAACAAAAAGAGCTACCTTCACACTACATAGACAAAAATACATTCACATTTTGTCAGTGTGAACGAAAAAAATCTTGTATGTGCGAGGGTGTTGTACAAATTTAGTTCAAGTTTTATTTAAATGTAGAACAACTCTTAGGTTTTTCAAGATATAGAGTAAGCCTTCCAAAGCCTTCCGCTCCAAGACTCCTCCATCTACAGTGGTCCTAAAAATCTCTTCATTACTAAGCTCTACGATCCAGGCTTTCTAAAAAACATTTTTTTAAACCAGCTTCAACTGGACTGACAAATGGGGACCGTAGAAATGGATTAATTGTGTTGCTACTGTTTTATCACATATGCACATGATACTAAATTTATATCTCTCTATGTGGTAGAGAGCTTGGTATAGACACCTTGAGCAAATGTGAGGATGAACAAAACGAATTGCTTAGACTAGCACAAACTATGTTTGATACGAAACTACCCCCTGGTGTGACAATGCTTCAACCTTTCTCAGAAGGATCTTCAATTAGAAAGATTGCTGTTCCGGTATGCTCTCAAATCTTGCATTCATGTTAATGAGGAGAATTGGGACATTTATACGTCGTACTCATAATTCTCATGTTTGATTTTCTTCTAATATGATCATGTAGGCTTTTCCAGAGGAACTTTTTTCAGTTCTTCGCACTGTGCATTTACTTAGAGGTCTTAATGTTGGACTTGGAATTAATTATTCCGCTGCTGAGCAGTGGAGACCTATTGCTGAAGAAGCACTATACCGGGCTGGAAGACTTGAGGGCAAGTTGTTCCCTTTGATGCTTTGATTGAGATTCATCAAGACCAGATTAAATTTTTAAATAAAATAGATCCAGCATTTTTGTTTATTTCATTATTTATTTTGGAAAAATTGGTAGGGGGGCTAATTATGCTTCTAGAAAATCTATAAAAACTGCTTTCTTGATTCTTACCTTTCCATTATTGTAATTCCCCATGCTCACTCCTTCGTCTTCATTCTAAAGTGCTTGTTTGGTGGCTATAATTTTTGTAAGGGGGTGTAAACTGTAAATGCGATGAATTTGGTGAGGTTATTGAAATTGCTGATTGGATTGAATTAGCGTAAAAAGTGTACATTGTATATTTCTTCATAACTTAAAAGAAAATAATGTCCAACAGGTTAGGGTATGCGTCATTGATCCTCATTATAAAGCCAATTGTGGAGTTTCTTTTATTACTATCAACAACAAACAAATAGCCAATGAATTCTTTTTTCAATTCATAAATATGCTTCAATTGATAGTAATTCGTTTAATGATTCATAAACTAATCTTTGTGGGACAATATGTCAGGTAATGAGCTCAAAAGTTTGCAGAAGAAAGGCTTCTTTAGAAGAAAACTCTGGAGATGAGAAACACGAAGAGTAGTTTTCTTTCTTTCTTTTTTTTCCTTTTCTTCCGAGCACTTCTCTACTGATATGTCACTCTCAGATCTTTTACATGGGGATTTAATTGTTAGCATTGTGTCAAATAATTGAATCATGATTAATGTGGTAACTATGATGCTTGGCCTAGTAATGAAAAGAGAAGTGCACCCGAGAGGTGGAGTATTTTGCCTAAACCGAGCGGGAAGACAGTTTGGCGTGCACTCATTTCGTAGTTAGGCTACGTATTTGACAGCCTTCATCAAGTAATCTCTATCTTGTACAAATGTAATTGTAGTAGCACACTATCATTTTCACTTCTGAGAGCAGTTATATGTTTTTTAGATAATACTGTATTAATTAAGAGTGTTTCTGGTGTTTTATGTGTCTTAGTGCTCGTACTTGTGAAAGACCCCCTACAACAAAACTTATTTTGATCTGGAGGTGCATTATTTGTAGAATGCACCTTTGTCCTTGTGGGTGCCATGCATATTTTATCTTATTTACATATTATTTCAATCACACACACACTTATTTCCGAGAGTTTTTTTCGAATTAATGCTAATTAAAAATTATTTGTGAAATTAGGGTCGGGTTTAAAATATTCAAACGGAATATTATTGGGAGGAATTGTGGTTAACAAAAACCGTCCAATGGAATGTCGTTGATCAGTTTGACGACTTTCCCTCTGTGAAGTCGGTTAATAGTGTCACATAGGGATTAGGAATGGACTCGGGCCGGTTCGGGCCCGGCCGGGCCTCGGTTCTAGGAAGGCAGGCCCAGAACCGGCCCGGATAACCCCGGGTCCGGTTCGGTTCGGGTCACCCGCCCGGTTCACGGGCCGGGCCGCCCGGCGGGCCGGGCCTATTTATTTTTTTTTTAATTATTATATAATTAGAATAAATCTTATTACAATTACAATATATTATATTCGAATTGAAGTATATTTATTTCAAATAAGAAGTACAATTGAGAATTAGGATGAATTTAAAAAATGTAATACATTTTGTAATAAAAAATCAATCGGACTAGGAATGGACTCGGGTCGGTTCGGGCCCGGTTCGGGCCTGGGCCCGGCCGGGCCTCGGTTCTAGGAAGGCAGGCCCGGAACCGGCCCGGATAACCCCGGGTCCGGTTCGGTTCGGGTCACCCGCCCGGTTCACGGGCCGCCCGGCGGGCCGGGCCGGGCCTATTTAATTTTTTTTTAATTATTATATAATTAGAATAAATCTTATTACAATTACAATATATTATATTCGAATTGAAGTATATTTATTTCAAATAAGAAGTACAATTGAGAATTAGGATGAATTTAAAAAATGTAATACATTTTGTAATAAAAAATCAATCGGACTCTCCGCCTTCGGTTGTTTCCTCCATAAAGTGGCGGGAGGGAGTGATGGTAATTTCTTGAGTTCTTCGTTGGGCCTTCAACCAATCGTGAAAGCAAACTAGTGTCTCAAGAGAGCTCGGGCTCAACCTCGTTCTAAAATCGGTTAGGACGTTGCCGGCCGCACTGAATTCTTGTTCCACGGCAACGGTTGATATCGGCATTGCTAGTACTTGCTTAGCCATCTTTGATAAAATCGGGAATGTTCTTTCATTTTCCTTCCACCACTTAAGAACGTCAAAGTCATCACCAACTTCATAATCAACATTCAATGTTAGATACAAAGAAAGCTCGTTACCTGAGCTTTGTTCAGTAGCGGGAGTTGCTCTACTTTTTTTCAAAAGAGAACCAAAAGCGGATTTTAAAAGTGATTTTCCTTTAGATGAAGAAGATGTTCGTTGCATGGGAGGGGGTGCATTACCATATTGTGCATGAAATTCATTATACAATTGATGAAATAAATTACTAACCTCGTTGAATTCTTGTTTAGGGTCGATGGGATTATCATCGAACTCTTGAGTTGGAAAAAAAGAAGCATAATAGTAATCTATACAATTTGCCAAGTAAGGAAGTTTATAACGAGGATCAAGAACAAATGCAATACCATATATATGCGGAATATGTGAATAATATTTTAAAAACTTTTGTTTCATGAAATCACAAAAATAACTAACGTAAGCAGCGTCGGAAAATTCACAAAAAGCGCCGGCGAGATTAATAGCTTCAACAAAAAATTCGTTTGCGGTAGGTTTATAAACATGACTAAAAGTTAGAGTTGCGTTATTAAAATATGCCAAAACATTAACAATTTTTTCACAAGTGTCGATGTCAGCCGGGTTTATAATATAGTTACAAGTTTGTCTTAAAAAAGCTGGAAAATGATCTTTATATCTAACAAGTACTTGAATTAAATTATAAGTACTATTCCAACGAATAGACAAATCTTTAGGAAAAGCACAATAATTCACGCGTCTATCCTTCAAATATTGCCGCCATTGCATTTTTAGTGGAGTGTTAGCCCAAATCAATTTAATTCCCCCCTTCACTACCTCCAAAGCATTTCCTAATGCCGCTAAGCCATCTTGTACACACAAATTTAGAATATGACATGCACAACGTTGATGAAAAAATCTACCCATCAATGTAGAAGCACCACACAATTCACGTAATCTAGGTATAGCAGCAGTATTATTACTAGCATTATCAAAACCTACAGCAAACACCTTATCAATCAAATTATACTCAATTAAAATACGTTCAATGAGAATATAAATATTATCAGCAGTGTGACGATCATTGAATTCACGAAAAGAAAGAACACGTTTATGCATATTCCAATCATCATCAATATAATGTGCAGTTAGACCCAAATAATATAAATGATGATAAGTATCCTCCCATATATCGCTACAAATACTAACACGTCCATCAAAGTTTGCGAAAAATATTTGTAATTTTTCTTTTTCCAAGTTATATTGCCTTATAACTTCTTTTTTAATCGTTTTGCGACTATAATTTCTAAATTGAGGATTTAAAGTACCTTGAGCATAATCTCTTAAAGCAAGACTTTCGGAAAAAATAAAGGGTAAATTTTCTTCAACAATTAAATGAGACATACCAGTCAAATGTTTTTTATCATCATAGGAAAAATTACCAAAGGGTTGAGAATTTGCAAACCTTGATATTTGTGTTTGCTTCCCCTTTCCTTTGTCTATTTTCGCATACTCCACAACGTGGGTGGACTGAAGATGTCTTTTGAGACTCCCGTATCCGCCAGAAATTCCCAAGCTAAACTCTTTCTTGCAATGATTGCAACTTGCGTACCATTTTTCGGTTTTTTCGTCTTTCCTTTTTGTAAAATTGTTTTCAATAATTTTAGATTTAGATTTAGATTTCTTACCAATTTTGGTTGTAGTCGTTGAAGGGCCCTCGTCCTCTTCCTCATCATCCGGAGTCCCGTCGTCCCCCGCGTCCTCCTCCCCATCGTCATCCTCTTCCTCGAGCTCCTCTTCATCGATGGTTGTCGGGAATTGTTGTTCTTGTGCAAAACGTGGATCATTTTGGGACAATAGGTGTTGTAGTTCCTCGTCGGACATCATCATACCATCTCGCCGTTGGTAATCCGTTTCAAAATCATCTCGACTTTGAAAAGAAGACTCGGCCCGCGCTTTACCTTTGCCTTTGCGTGAAGTAGATCGAGTCGATGCAATCTCCCTCTTGCGGTTGCGTTGGAGATTACCCACATCTACAGAATGTCTACCTCGCTCCATATTTAAAATTGAACAAATATTAGCACTTAACTAATATGAGAAATGTAAAAATTAACTATTTTTGTTATTTTAATGAGATATGTAGCAATTAACTAATATGAGAAATGTAAAAATTAACTAGTTTTTTTTACTTTAATGAGATATGTAGCAATTAACTAATATGAGAAATGTAAAATTGTAGCAATTAACTAATTAACTAATATGAGAAATGTAAAAATGTAGCAATTAACTAATTAACTAATATGAGAAATGCACAAATGTAGCAATTAACTAATATGAGAAATGTAAAAATATAGCAATTAACTAATTAACTAATATGAGAAATGTAAAAATGTAGCAATTAACTAATATGAGAAATGTAAAAATATAGCAATTAACTAATTAACTAATATGAGAAATGTAAAAATGTAGCAATTAACTAATTAACTAATATGAGAAATGTAAAAATGTAGCAATTAACTAATTAACTAATATGAGAAATGTAAAAATGTAGCAATTAACTAATTAACTAATATGAGAAAATGTACAAATGTAGCAATTAACTAATATGAGAAATGTAAAAATGTAGCAATTAACTAATATGAGAAATGTAACAATTAAGTAGTTTAACTAATATTAATATGACAAATGAAACAATTAACTTTAACTACTTTAACTAATATTAATATGAAAAATGAAACAATTAAGTAATTAAATAGATAAACGAGAAGTGTATATATAAATCAAATGTATAACTATATATAGTATATATAAATATATAATGTGTAAATATATTATAAGTAATATATAATATAATGTATAACTATATTCTAAGTAATATATAATATAATGTATAACTATATATAGTATATATAAATATATAATGTGTAAATATATTATAAGTAATATATAATATATATGTATAACAATATATAGTATATAATATAATGCGTAAAGAATTATAATATGAATGTGTATAAGTATATATTTATAAGTAGATAATTAATATTATAATATATAAGTAGATATAATAATTATATAAATTATATATATGTAGAAAGAATTTGGAGAAGATGAAGAATGAAGATGATTGAATATGAGAGATTAAGAGAATAGAGAATTTAGATTTTAGAGAGTAGAAAGAGTTGTAGGTGTAAAAAATGTATAGAAAATAGGAGTATAAATAGGTTTTTTTTTGTATACCCCACCCCCACCCCCACCCCACCCCCCTAACCCCCCAGACCCCCCCTCCTATGCTCCCAACGGCTATAGAGCCGTTTGGGAGGTCTCCCAACGGCTAGTAGAGCCTTCAAATTTTTTAATTTTTTTTTTTTGTGACCGTTGAGGCCCGGCCGGGCCGGTTCACCAAATTTTAAGCCCGGGCCCGAACCGCTACATGACCGGGCCGGGTGGCCCGAACCGTGACCTAACCGACAAACCGGGCCGGGCCCGCACAGTAGCGGGCCGGTCCGGTTCCGGGCCGGTTGGCCCGGCCCGAGTCCACCACTAATAGGGATGGACCCGGGCCGGGCCCGGGCAGGCTTTTTTTTGAAAATCCATGGGCCCGGAACCGGCCCGGTTTGATACCGGGTCTGGGTCGGGCCCGGTTCAATGTCTATTTTTTTTTGCTTTCTTGTTATCCCCCAACCCCCCCCCCTCACCCCCATCCCCCAAACCTCCCCAAAACACCCAATCCTAGCCTAGGAAAAGAAAAAAAATTGAAAAAACAAAAAAAAAAGACCCGGGTCCGGCCCGAATCGCCCGGGCTGGTTCGCCCAAAACTGGGCTCGAGCCCGGCCCGCCCGACCCGCCCGACCCGCCCAAACGGGCTAAAAG